AAAAAAAAAAAAAAAAAACGTGTTTAGGAGCTAGGTAGGGAAGGACTCAAGTTGTGACCATGTTACGGTTTCTATCACCCTATAAACATAGCACACATACTACCAGCCTTTCTTAATATCCCTACTTAGGGATGAAATGGAGCAGTTTGCTTCGGAGGTTGCCACCTTGGCCCAGCAAAGTGGCGTCGGACCAATGCAGGAGTTCTGGGGGTACATAGTGAGAGAATCTGGGTTGCTGTCAAGGAACTTCAGTGAGTCCATATCATGGGACTCAATTTACGTTCCTTAGGGAGCCCATGGCAGATGCCAAGTACTGTGTGTGCGATGCGGAAGTAATCCTCTTGTAGACCCCAGTGTCCCCCGTATAGTCCCCACATGCAACTTCTATGGGCTTCTGAGCAGTTTCCGGTTTAGGGCTTATTAGGATCTAGGGTTTACCTAAACCCTAAACCCTGACTCTACACGGTCCCCAAGCTATCTCTGGGCAATCTGTTCTCCAGGTCTTCTTGTAGGCAAAATCTCGCGGTGCCCCGTCAGGACGTTTCCGGAGTCGTTGTCGCCATCCGCTCCCAAATAGAGACTGCTCTGCCAAACTTGGAGGCTTGTGGGCCTGGTTCTATGTGGGGTTTCTCAGAAGAATCCCCCATAGTTAGCGATTAAGGTTTAGGGTTAGGGGAAGAATCCCCCCTAGTCATATTCCCCGTAATATGGACCTCTTATAACCCCTATATAGGCCTTGGGGTAGTGTAGGCCCATTTCGTCAAACTCCTGTGTTCCTATGTGCCCCAGCTTACAAACCTCTCCATACCACCATATATCCCTACATGAGCTTTAGTCTACACTCCTAGTATCCCCCTTAATAACCCCCATAATACTCCCCAATATAATCCCCTATATAACCCCCTTAAAAGGAGTTTAGACCCTAAACCCTAAACCCTAAATCCTAAACCCTATATATTCCCCCTTTAAGGAGTTTAGACTACAGCTCACTATGGGAGTCGCTCAAAATAAGAGGGTCTTGGGCAAAGAAAGCGTCTTGTCCCGCTCTTTCTGTGCAGAAAATGCTGGCGCAGCACATCCCCAACTTCTACGCCTTCAAGTATGCTCTGACCTAAGTGCTGGTATAGAGTTTAGGGCTTGGGGTTTCGGGCTTAGGGTTCAGAGTTTACGGTGTAGGGTTTAGGGCTTAAGGCTTATCAAAGACTTTAAGTTTGTACCCTTAGGTTTGGGGTCCCAAAGGCTCTTGATCATTAAGGGCCATATAGCAAGCAGAGGCTAACCCCACACCTCACATCCTATACCCCTCCCTATGCTTTGACCCCAATTCTCT